AACCGCATGCGGGCACCCCCGCTGGGGCCTTCGGTGGAGCTCCCTATGGGGCCACGAAGCGCTGCCGTGGGTGGGGGAACCGCATGCGGGCACCCCAAACTGGGGCCTTCGGTGGGGCTTCTTATGGGCCTACGAAGCGCTGCCCTGAGTGGGGGAACCGCATGCGGACATCCCCACTTGGGCCTTCGGTGGAGCTCCCTATGGGGCTACGAAGCGCTGCCCTGGGTGGGGGAACCGCATGCGGGCACCCCCACTGGGGCCTTCGGAGGAGCTCCCTATGGGGCTACGAAGCGCTGCCTTGGGAAGGGGAACCGCATGCGGGCACCCCCACTGGGGCCTTCGGTGGAGCTCCCTATGGTGCCACGAAACAGTGCCCTGGGTGGGGGAACCGCATGCGGGCACCCCCACTGGGGCCTTCGGTGGAGCTCCCTATGGAGCTGCGAAACGCTGCCTTGGGTGGAGGAACCGCATGCTGGCACCCCCACTGGGGCCTTCGGTGGAGCTCCCTATGGGGCTACGAAGCGATGCCCTGGGTGGGGGAACCGCATGCGGGCACCCCCACTGGGGCGTCCGGTGGAGCTCCCTATGGGGCCACGAAACGCTGCCCTTGGTGGGGGAACCGCATGCGGGCACCTCCACTGGGGCCTTCGGTGGAGCTCCCTATGGGGCTACGAAACGTTGCCTTGGGTGGGTGAAACGCAAGGAAGAGGGGGAGGAGGGAGGAGTGGGAGGAGGAGGGGGAGGAGGGAGGAGGGGGAGGAGGAGGAAAGCAGAAGTACGCGGGGCGCTGTCTCTTCAAAACGAGGACCCAACACCACAGGATGGTTGGGAACCTTCGGTTTCGGAAGGATTTCAAAATCGTGTGTCCAGAAAACATACAAAAACACGGTTCCGCAACACGGATTTCTAACAAAAGCGTGCGCGCGCGTTCTTGCGTCGTCGTCGTCGCCGCCGTTTTCCATCCTCCCTCGTCGTCGTCGTCGCCGTCGTCGTCCTCTGTCTTTCTTCGTCGACGCCGTCGTCTTGGCGTCGTCGTCGTTTCCGTCGTCGTTGTCGCCGTGGTCGTCCTTCCTCCTCCCTCGACATCGTCGTCTGTCGTCGGCGTCTCGTCGTCGTCCCTCCTATTTCGTCGCCGTCGTCGTCGTCGTCGTCGTCATCCCTCCTCCCTCGTCGTTGTCGTCGTCGGCGTCGCCGTCCTCCCTTCTTCTGCGTCGTTCGCGTCGTCGCTGTCCTCCCTCTTCCCTCGTCGTTGTCGTCGTTGTCGCTGCCGTCGTCCTCCCTCCTTCGTCGTCGTCGTCGTCTTCGTTGGCGTCGTCGTCGTTTTCGTCGTCGGCGTCGTCGTCGTCGGCGTCGTCGTCGTCGGCGTTGTCATCGTCGTCGTCGTCGTCGTCGTCGTCGGTGTCGTCGTCGTGGTCGTTGTCGTCGTCGTCGAAGTCGTTGGAGTCGTCGTTGGTGTCGTCGTAGTCGGTGTCGGCGGCGTCGTCGTCGTCGTTGTCGCTGTAGTCGTCTCCGTCTGTGTCGCTGCCAAGTGCCATTTGGTACCTACCGTCACGGTCTGAAGCGGTCTTGCGGCTTAGTTGCGGGTTGGGGGGTGGGATGTTTGCAGGAGCAGTGGAGAGGACAGTTTCAAGACAGTCAAGGCGAATTGCACCACATAGATTGCACCGCATCGATTGCCGTACATTTGTTGCAAGCAATACATTGTACATCTTGGGCCGCACCACTTTTTCTGCACAACATACGTGGCACAGCATATTGCACCTCAGCAGCTGCACTATCTATATCGCACAGCACTGATTGCACCACATATTTTGCTCATCCCATATCGCACAGCATCGACTGTTTCACATCGTTTGGGCCACATCGGCCGCATCACATAGCTTGCTCTACATCGATTACCCAACGTCTGTTGCACCACATATAGTACACCACACTAGATGTCCAACATCTGCTGCACAACATATGTGGTACAGTTGCGAGACATATGTTGTTTCACATAGATGACAGCACATAGGTCGCATCGCATAGACGTACATAATGGATAGCACACCTGATATTGCACACCATGTGCTGCACCACAAGAGTGCACACTTTAAGGGTAGCTCTTTGGGAGATGTTATAGTATCGGGAGTATAGCTCGCGCGCCGTTGCCTTTGGCTCAAGGCACGCGCGCCCTATTTGCCCGGACACTTACCTTAGTGTTCGCTATGTGCTGGAAAGACCGTTACATCGATCTGATCCGATCCTACCCATCCACTCCCCATATCGTATTCCTTCGACATGGAATCGGATGCAATGTGAGCCCATCCGCCTCCCATGGAGACGGATGCGATTTGACCTACCAGGTTCACTTTCGACTTGGTAGCGGAGCTGGCCGCACTCTCGTGTGGTCAGCTCTTGTTCTTCTCATCCTCATACTCTTCGGCACGATCCTCGTGACCACATACAACCCTGCGCCATCACTCCCAGTACGTTTACGAGGATCCATTCAAGAGCAAGAAGCAACACGAGAGGTACGACGTCTAGACAACAACATCAGTACCATATATGTTTCATCATTGCGCTACTACCAACCGCTCGGCAACGAGCCAAAAGCGCAGTACTTGAAGCATGGGCGGAGAGATCCGCCAGATAGAGCGCCTCGAAGACTCGACAAGGCGCTACCCCAGCGCGGCAACGCGCCTACTAACCACCCCTACCTACACAGCCTTGGGCTGGTTTTCTTCGCTATCATATGGTTCGCGCTGGGGGCAGCAATCGGACACATGCGCCGCGGAGAAAACAGCACCGATGGGCAAACACATGGCCCATACTGGGACCCTCAAGGCAACGTACCTTTCCGTGAGTACGTTAATGAGGTCAATGCGTGGCTCAACGTCACTAGCGGACGCATGACGCCACAGGCCCAAGCGGCCGCCATACAACGCGGCCTAGGTGGCCTAGCGAGGACACTCGCCATGCGGGTACCGCCTGACATTAAACTATGGCGTTGACATCGATGGGGTCCACACAGACCCAGCGACCTACATCATGTTCCTCCTAAGCATGAAGTTCGAGCGCCTGGAAGATGAGCGCCAGCTCACTTCCGGCACACAGCTCATCGACTTCCATGTGCCTCACGGAGAACGAATCGACGTTACTCTAACCCGATTCGAAATGGCCCGACTTGAGGCACAGTCGGTGGGACTCGACCTTCCCAACTTCCAATTACTAACCACGATTCTGTTCCGCGCCTTAGGCGTCGGCAACCAGCGAGCCATGCAACTCTTACAGCCACTCAATCATCGAATGCCCCGAATTCAACAACAGCATGATGAGTTTCTGGAGAGGATGCGTTCGATAGGCCACCCATCAGAACGGTCTCCTGGCAATATAGGATCTGTGTTTGGAAGGGGAAGGGGATCTGGTAGTGGGAATTGCTGCACTACCTTAACCACTGAAGCCCAGCCTGGAAACGCGCCCTCAAGCAGATGGGCCGATGATCCCGGAGAATCTACTGCTTCATTAGCAGGGGATCGACCACAACCAAGCTGGGCAACCAGCCCTCCTTCCAGAAAACCTCAACCACACCGTTCTCTGTGGGGCGAATCAAACCCCCTTACCGACGGTGTATCCACCTACTTGGGAGACGATGATTTCGACTCCGGCACCGACACTGATACTGCATCATCCGACAGTGTTGAAGCTTTAGATTGGTCAGATATTATGAATGCGGAAACTGACAATCAGCGTGCTGAACACCTATTTTGGTCATTACAACAGGCTAAACGGAGGTGGAGGAGGTTCACACGAAAACCAGTGCGACGTGTTAGGAGGAGGACACGGAGGAGCTTCAAAGGAAAAGGTAAAGGCAAGCGGGGTCGTCGGAGGTTGAATGGGCGAGGCATCGCGGCATTCCTCCAGAGGCTCTCAGATGAACAGCATGACGAGATATTCTTCGGAGGAAAGGGCCGCGGCAAAGGCCGTAGAGAGACCTCAGGAAAAGGCAAAGGTAGGCGGGGAAACCCGCGAGGTAGAGACGGCCAGGTTCTAAAGTGCCATGAGTGTGACAGTGCCGACCATCTTGTGAGAGATTGTCCAGCGACGGGAAATGGAAAGGGCAGATCGACCGAAGTCCATTTTGGCTCAAGTGAACCATTCATCGAATATCTGAGCCTCCAGGATTTTGAGGCCATGGAACAGATATTTTTACACTTGGGTCAGTTGCATGGACAACGTCGACGAGCTCGAGGCGTATTGGTCATGGATTGTACGCGTACTACCCCGAGTACCCTGAGGTTGGATCTGGCCATTTTTTGTCCTCGGCTGTCTTATGTCCATTTAAATAGGCCTTCACCACCGTGTCCTTTTTAAAATGGCCGGCGCTTGTTTTATGTATGTTTGTTGTTTGTTTGAACTAGTGCGTGAAAACCAAGTGCGCGCGAGCTCTCGACACCAAAACAAAATGAAGAGGAGAGAGGAGGAGGAGGCAGGAGGAGGTAGAGGAGGAGGGAGAGGAGGAGAAGGAGGAGTAACAGAAACGAGATGAGGAAAAGAGGAAGAGAAGAAGTATGAGGAGGAGGGGAAGGAGGAGGACTGTTGGACGGACGGACGACGACGGACGGACGGACGGATGAGGGAGGAGGAAGATGCACGACGAGGAGGAAGGAGGATGAGGAGGAGGAGGAAGGAGGAGAAGGAGAAGGACCAATGAAGACCCAAGACCCATCAACGATGTTGGAGTAAACTCTCCCTGCAACTTCCCTCTTCATAGGCCTACAATGCCCCGCTGGGAGACAACTGTTTGAAGATCTTGAAGTGTGCCATAACACCATTCTCGGGACTTCAGCGAAACAAATCAACATGACTGTTCCGCATTGGCGATCCTGGCTCGTGACAGAACACCAATTCCTGGGAATACATGTCTTCGCCGTCGGCGTCGTCTCCGCAACGACATTGGGCTCGGGTGGTAGCGCCCCCTGGGCGGCAGCGACGGCAGCGCGAGCCCGCGGCGGCTTGCGATGACGGATCGTCGGTCTCGCCCTCACCCCCACGTGCCAGAGCCCGTCCCGATCGAGTGGTTCTGGATCAAGCCTGGCCCGTGGGAGAACCCGACACCCGAGATGGAAAAGTTGATGAACGAGGAGGGGGCGGAGCGCCGCAAGCCGTTCATGAGCGGTGCGACGACTGCGGCAACCACTCCAGAAGTGGCGACCCGCGACGACGAATCCACCCACACCTCCCCCGCCCCCTGGAGGAAGAGGAGGAGGAGTAGGAGGAGGAGTAGGAGTAGTAGGAGGAGGAGGAGGAGGAGGAGGAGGAAAAGGTTGAGGAAAAGGAGGAGGAGGACAAGAAGGAGGAGGAACAGGAGGAGGAGGACGAGGAGGAGGAGGAAGAAGAGGAGGACTAGGAGGACAACGACGAGGAAAAAGAGGAGGACGAGGAATAGGAGAATGAGGACAGCGCGCCCCTCAGGTGAGTGCATCGTCGGCAGCAGCATCGGGGCCACCGACGCCGCTCCCGACGGACCGCCGAGGGGGTGGGAGGAGGAGGAGGACGAGGAGGAGGAGGAGGAGGAGGAGAAGGAGGAGGACGAGGACGAGGAGGAGGAGACGGAGGAGGAGGGGAAGGAGGAGGAGGGGGAAGAGAAGGAAGAGGAGGAAGAGGAGGAGGGAGGGGGGATAAGAAGGAGAGAGAGAATGGGGCCGCGTCCCGAGAGGACGCGGGCAACCAGATCGGCATCGGCAGCACGCAGATCGAGGAGCGCCGCCGCCGCAGAATGACGAGAAGGATGAGGAGGAGGAGCACGAGGAGGAGGAGGAGGAGGGAAAGGAACATGTAAGAGGAGGAGGAGGGGGAGGAGGCGGACGAGGAGGAGGAGGAGGAGGGGGAGGACGAGGAGGAGGAGGAGGAGGAGGAGGAGGAGGTAGGGGGAGAGAAGGAGGGGGAGGAGAAGGAGGAGGAGGAGAGACGAGAGGAAGGATGAGGAGGAGGAGGAGGAGAGTCAACTTTACAACGCTACAAACTCGAGGTTGTGTTCTCCAGGTTTGACTCGGCCCTCTCGGGGGCGCTCTCGTCGCCACGGATGGGCGGGGCTCGATGTGCCAGGGGGCAGGGGGTCCACGGAATCAGTTTTTGGCGTTGTAAAGTTGACTTTATTCCTCCTCCTCCTCATCCTCCTCCTCCTCCTCGTCCTCCTCCTCATCCCCCTCGCCCTTTTCCTCCTCGTCGTCCTCCTCCTCCCCCTCCTCCTCCTCCTAGGCTTCATGCGCCCGCCCGTCCATTTACTCCTCCCAAGTTTCCGTCTCCTCCTCCTCATTATCATGATTATTATCCCCATCCTCCCGCTCCTCGTCCTCAAATGTCCTCGCTCACCCGTCTCCTCATTGCACCTCCTCCTCCTCGGCAGCTCGCGCGTCGCCATCTGGGCTCAAAACGAGCGCCTCTCGGCGGTGCGAGGCGCCGCGCGGCTCCGCGCCGCATGGCCGATGACGAGGATCAGGACTCGCCATGCAGGGGCCTCTCGTGTTCGGACGTGGAGCTGATGGCTTCGGAGTTCAAGGCATTCTTCGAGCGGCCTGATTGGCTGCAGTACAGGGCGGACCTCAGCAAGCACCCGAGCAAGGACGACCAGGAGGGCATCAAGAGGCACATCAAGGTGTGCATCGCCATCAGGAGCAAGGTCGCGCCGAACTGCTCGCTGGCTAAGAAGGCCACGGAGCGCGCCGTCGAGCTGATCTCGAAGGAGAACAAGTGGGAGTTCCCAGGGGACACCCTCGTGGCGTACCGCGCCGAGGTGGCGGCGAAGCTTCGGACGCTCGCCAGGCACTGCGCATCGCTGTGGAGCAGGCCGAAGCTGCCCAAGTGGTTCGTGGAGTACCTCGAGGCAGAGGGCTACAACGAGAGCCCCGACGCCAAGCCAGCGGGAGCGGCTGCTCCAGCTCCAGCGCCAGCGGCAGCAGCAGCAGCAGCAGCAACAACAGCAGCAGCACCACCACAACCGCCACCGACGGCGCCTGCTGACAGCACGAACTTCGTGTACAAGTACAGCGAGTACGAGAACACTGCGATCAGGATCCAAACGGGCACGACTGCCGAGATCGAGTGCGAGAAGATCGAGGGCCCAGATGCAACCGGCTGGTGCAGAGCGTTCTGGCCCGACGGCGCGACGTGGCAGTTCCCCAAGCATCTGCGCGTCAAGCCGAAAGCATGCGCCAGCAAGCTGCCCCGCATCACCGTCCAGTGCAGGAGCGAGGGCCAGTTCGAGGTGTTCATGCGCCTGGCGAAGGACAGGGACCCAGACCACCGCCTGGTCCAGATCATGAAGAAGACCAGCACGACGGAGAGTGGCACCGTCCTGGAGCAGCAGACGCAGGCGAGCTGCGGGTACTGGCCCTCGGAGGACGAGGCGATCGCGGCGATGAAGGGCATACTCGACAAGTTCGTGAGCGGGGAGATCACGACCAAGCAGGAGGCCAACAAGTACAAGATGGACATCATCAAAGGCCTGGAGAAGCGACGAGGCGTTGCAGGCGCAACGATGCGGAAAAAGCTGAGGCACGAGTGGGGGGTGGCAATCTTCCGATTAGGATTTGAGATGTTGTGGGTACGAGTTCGGAGGATGCCGAGGAGGAGGAGGAGGAGGAGGAGGAGGAGGAGGAGGAGGAGGAGGGGGAGGTGAACTCACGAGGAGGTGATGGGAGCAAACTGGCTGCCCCCCCATAGGACGGAGGAGGATGATGGTGATGAGGAGGAGGAAGATAAGGAGATAAGAGGAGGAGGAGGAGGAGCAGGAGGAGGAGGAGGAGGAGGAGGAGGAAGAGGAGGAGGAGGAGGAGGAGGAGGAGGAGGAATAGGGGGGAGGAGGAGGAGGAGGAGGAGGAGGAGGAGGAGGAGGAGGAAAGGGAGGACTACGAGGAGGAGAAGGAGATGAGGAGAAGGAAGAGGAGGAGGAGGAGGAGGAGGAGGAGAAGGAGGAGGAGGAGGATAAGGAGGAGGATTGCCACCCCCCACGCGCACTTCAGCTGCCTCTGCATCGTTGGCGCCCGAAGGTGCGACAGCTGGTGCCGAGGCCGCCGACTCGGGGCTACAGAACGGACTAGGGGAAGACGAGGCGCCTGGCGATGAAGGGGACGACGACGCAGCAGCATCGAGCAAGCGCAAGGCCAGCGTCGAGAAGAGCTCCGACGCGAAGGTCACGATCATCCCGATGAAGAAGGCGAAGGCGAAGGCGAAGGTGATCGAGCAGAGCTCAGACGCGGAGGTCGCGATCATCCCGATGAAGAAGGCGAAGGCGAAGGCGAAAGTGAAGCCGACGCAGAACGAGGGGCCGACGGGGGACGCTGTCGCTGCCGCCGCGGCTGAGGCGACGCACACGCAGAGCACGCCCGAGCTGACCGCCACGAAGCCAGCGGACACCAACATGGTCAGCGAGGGTGTGAAGGGGCCGACCCAGACGGCCATCGAGAAAGCAGAGGAGGCGCTGAGGATCATGGTGTCGGACTCCGAGTGACGCGGCGAGATGCCGCAGGACCAAAATTCATCACCACATCCACCTCCGCCGCCACCACCATCATCACCATCACCACCACCTACAACAGACACTAGGGACAACCACTTCGGAAACTGATGAGGATGAGGATGAGGAGGAAGAAGAGGATGAGGATGAGGATGAGGATGAGGATGAGGAGTAAGACGGATGAGGTATGAAGCACTGCCGCCACCATCATGGCCACCATTGCCATCATCCATCAGCCGCGCCTCCTGTCCCAGTTCGGCCTACATCCCTCCCCCATTTCTCTACCCTCTCACGCTCACTACGCGAACTCCCGCAAACTAAATCCTCCCCATATCCTCCCATCCTCGCATCCTCTTCATCGCCTCTCGTGCTCCTCCGTCCCAACCTCATCATATCCGTTATCGCTCGGCTGCTTGCCCTGACCCTCACACTGATCGCTCGTTGCCTCCCCCGCGCCGCCAGGAGGAGACGCACGAGTGCCAGGAGGGCTCGACCATGGGCTACGGCAGCTTCGCGTGGACAGCGGACCGCTGCCCCACGACGCAGGAGTTCGAGGAGCGAGCGGGTGGCACCCGAACAGCCCTCCTCGTCCTCATACTCCTCCTCGTCCTGCTCCTCCTCCTGCTCCTTGTCCTCCGCCTCCTCATCCCCCATCCGCCGCCTCCTTCTCCTCCCTCTCCTCCTCCCCCTAACCCTCCTCCTCCTCCTCCTCCTCGTCCTCCTCCCCCTCCACATCGTCCCTCCACCTTCTCGTTCTGCTCCTCCTCCTCCTCCCCCTCCGCCTCCTCCTCCTCCTCCTCTTCCTCCTCGTCCTCCTCTTCCTCCTCCTCACCATCACCCGTCCGCAGTTTTAGGAGCCCGCATCCCCCCTCGAAGGATGCGAAGCGTGCACATCGCGAGTGGGCGCAGCGTGGTGGACGCCCACTCTGCGCGCAGCCGCCAGAGGCTGAGGTCGGAGGCGGAGTGGCACCGTCTACGCCCGCGGCAGAGGCTGAGGTCGGAGGTGGAGTGGCACAGTCCAAGCCCGTGGCAGAGGCTGAGGTCGACTGCAGAGTGGCGCAGTCCAAGCCCGTGACAACGGCTGAGGTCGGAAGCGGAGTGGCACCGTCCGAGCCCGTGACAAAGGCTGAGATCGGAGGCGGAGTGGCACCGTCAGAGCCCGTGGCAGGGGCTGATGTCGGAAGCGGAGTGGCACCGTCTGAGCACGTGACAAGGGCTGCAATCGGAGGCGGAGTGGCACCGTCAACGCCCGTGACAAGGGCTGGCACAGGAGGCGGAGTGGCACCGTCAGAGCCCGCGGCGGCGGACATCGGCATGCGTGCTGCCGTGCTGGGCCAGATCGGCATCGTCGAGGCGAACCCGATCGCCTTCGGCATGGCGCCTGCGGGCATGGCCTCGATCGGCGTGCAGCCAGCGAACCCGAGCCAGTTTGGGCTGCAGCAGGTCGCCGTGAGCCAATCGGCCCCGCCACCACCGCTCATGCACAATGGCGACAGCTGGGGAGCGGCACCCCTCGCTCGGAGCCTCCCGCAGGACCCGTCCACTGCGGAGAAGGGCGGCAACCTCCTCGGGCTCTTCGGCATCCAGCACCTGAGCATGAAGCTCGGTGAGCTCGCGAAGGAAGCGGCCCAGCTCGCGCCCAGCGCTCCCGCCGCGGGTGGCGCGCCAACAAAAGAGGTGACCCAACCACAGGAGATGAAGAGAAGGAGGAGGAGGAGGAGGAGGAGGAGGACGAGGAGGAATAAGGGCCCCAACGACTCACTCCACAAAAGAGGAGGATGAGCCCGAACGGCTCACCCCCACAAGGATGAGTCCGACCGGCTAAGGAGGAAGAGGAGGAGGAGGAGGAGGAGGAGGAGGAGAAAGATAAGGAGAATGAGGAGAGGGAGGATGAGGAGGAGGAGGAGGAGGAGGAGGAGGAGAAGGAGGAGGAGGAAGAGGAGGAGGAGGAGGAGGAGGAGGAGGAGGAGGAGGAGGAGGGGGGTGAGGGAGGAGGAGGGCGGACGGGGGAGGGGGGCGGGAGGAGGTGGAGGGGGGGCGGCGGAGTTTCTTTTTGAGCTCCACAGGTGGCAGCGCGCAGCCGATGTCCAAGGAGGAGAAGACGGTGGAGGATGCGTACCTCGCTCGCAGCGTCCCAGCCCGTTCGGCCATCGACAGCAAGTTCAGGCGCTTCATCGCCGACGAGCCGCAGGAGGCGGCCAAGTACAAGAAGTGCGTCGGTCGCGACGCGACGGAGGCGTTCAGG